GGGGGGGTTTCAGGGGGCAAGGCATTTGCCCATTATTTTTGTTGTGCAATATTCTGTAACATTTTCATAAACCGCTGATTCGCGCAATTTTCATGGCCGTATTTGTTTTCAGCATCCAAAAAAAGGTTAGTCAGGTCACCGAAAACAGTGCTTTTGCTTGCGGGTGCATAAGTAAAAATTTACCTTTTTTCCTTTGTGCTTTTTATTTCTCAGTACGACATGGTGTGTGAGAATGAGATCTTGGTGTCTCACTTCAAGATGATAGCCTTCATCGGTGGCCTCATTGGAGCTTTTGTGAATGGAATTCTGTCCGACCTGTGAGTGTCAACAATGTTTTGTCTTGGTGGACTGTTTTGTTCTTATCTGACCATACAAAAGTCTGTCACAATAGCATGCTTTGAACTCTACTGTTGCTTCATTTTTCTTGAATGCTGACATATTTTCATCTTTTATGTAGTTTTGTTCTTTCTTTTTGACAGAGGAGAAAAGGTGTGGGTGGTTCGCGGGTGCTCTGGTGTGGTTTGCTCCTTCTTTCCTATCGAACATCTATCGTCCTTATCTCCCCTCCATCTATTTTGTGTTTGTTACTCTCTTGTGACACCTCTAATCTTCGGCACTTGTATGACTTTGTTATGTTGCAAGTGCCGTAAAACTCTTACAAAAACTAAACTAACTCTGCTGTTGCATCATTTTTCCTAAATGCTGACATATTTTCATCTTTGATATAGTTTGGTTCTTTATCTTTGACAGAGGAGAAAAGTTTAAAGGACAAGCTTAGGATTCTCAGAACATAACCAATTACCCCTAAATGCTTCTCGATTGTCTGCTGTGAAGGAACTATAGGAAGAGAGCTGTTTTCTTAATGACATAAAAGACGGAAAAAATTTCATTCTTAGGGCTTGAAATTGTCGCTGGGGAGGAATGTAATTTCAGTTTTGAAAGTGTTCTTTTTTCTTTTGCTTTTATCTTTCTATTTGTTAGTAAAAAAAGGAAGCATACTTTTTTCATTAGCAAGGCATGTAATGACGATTAGACTTAATTATTCTTTTAAAAGTTGTAGCCTAGAGGTGCCTTTTTACAATTATTTCGTTTGGGTCAAGCACTGCTTCGAAAACCTTTTTTTTGTATTGCAATTTTTTTTAATACATCTTTTTAGTGTTTACCATGTGACCAGAAAGAGACTGTATTTCTATTCTTGAATTACATTTTTGTATATTTTTAACTCCCATGATCTGTAAGCATCGTAATGCTTGTTTTAGATTGTTCTGATAGCTTTATGCGTTGCTATTTCTATATTGTTTTTTTAAATTTCTCTTTCAGATTTGGTCGGAAGAGAGTGTTCCTGTGCTGTCTCGCATTTTACACCCTTGCGACTGTCGTGCTCATCTTTTCTCCCAACTACCTTGTCTTCCTGGCTATGAGATTCTTCCAAGGTGTATTTGGAAGTGGCGTCTTTATGATTTCATTCGTGTACGGTAAGTTATTGCATGATTATTTTTGTGCCCTCAAGATATGAACCTGCCTGTCTTATTTATTAACAATTGAATGAGAAAGATTTTGAATGAGAAAGATTTACATCTAGCCTTCTCAGACAAAGGCAAAAAATCTTGGAGGTCCCGTGTTCAAGTTGCGCACTTTAAAGATCCCTTGGTGGTCCTAAAATCGATAAGAGTAGGCTTTCGTTGCCACCTGCACAAAGGTCAAAATTAATTCCTCCTACGAAACTGAAAATGTTTAATGTGTCCAACGCACCCATATGACCATATGCAGTTTCGAGCACGGTAAAACACTTACAATTTAAATTAAAAAAAAAATAAAAAAAATTCATTTGTGTAGCTGCCAACCGTTATGTAAATATGTTTTTAAGACGTCTTTGAGAATCTGAATACTGATGTCAGTTTTATTGTCGGAAAGAACAACGTATTCTCTGTTTTCTAATATTGCTTATTACAGACTTGCTGATGCTTTAAAAAAGTTCAGAACTTTCAAGACGGGATTTGAGAGTAATATTGAGAACAAAACCCACCAGTCAGTTAGTAGTTATGTCCCTTATCAGAGTTCGCTATGCGGGTGGTTGGCGGGTGCTCTGGTGTGGTTTGCTCCTTCTTTCCTATCAAACATCTATCGTCTTTATCTCTCCTCCTTCTGTTTTGCATATATGTTACTCTCTTGTAACACCTCGAATCTTCGGCACTTGTATGACCTTATTGTGTAGCAAGTACTGTAAAACTCTTACTAAAACTGAAAAGAGTTCGCTATTTAGGCTGCCTGCCCAAAAGCCAGGCATGTTCTGTTTGGAAAAATTGCGTCAGAATCTGTGTGTTTCTGTCCATAAGGCACAATTGTCAAAAGCTTTTCTCAAAGATAATGAACATTTCTGTTTTTACCCCTTTAACAGTTTTCTGAGAGTCTGTTTCTGCCAGTAATGAATAATTAATCCACAGGAGTCAGCATACAACTGACACACACACTGACTCATGTTGACACACACACTGACACATATTGACACACACACACTGACACATATTGACACACACTGACTCATACTGACACAACCACACTGTCACATACTGACACACACACACTGCCACATACTGACACACACACTGTCAC